CAGGAATGCTACGCCCTGGCTTTGCTGAAGCAAATCTGGGGTGATGCTCTTCATCTGGTAACCTTGAGAAAGCATTAAGAAAGGCACCTCTCCAGCACCCAGCCTCAAATATCTGATATCGGGATTTCTTGGCCCGAGAGGATTCACGAGTTCTGAAAGCTGTCACTGTTCCTATTCATGGCACATTTGAAGGATTACGGATTAAGAAATGATTTAAAAACTAGTAAATGCCCCCATCTTCCCCTTCTGTGACAAGGCAACGTGACTCCTACTGTCAAAGGTGCAACCTCACGTATGCGTCTGAAAGGCTGGCGGCGTTCACGAGGAGAGAGATGATGGGGCGCAAATGCGGTCAAACTGGGACTTGCCAGTGACACGCAAAAAAAAATGCATGCATGCTTTTGCTGTTCCTCTTAAGATTTCCAAGTCCTCTCCTTGCCCCTGTATCTCAGTAACTTCCCGTGTCTGTTTATGTGAATTACCATCACCGCTCCTCCAGGAGCTCATGCTTCTTTTCCCTCCTGCCACTGACCTTCACATTGCTTTTTCTTCCTCTGCCCCCTACTCCGACTTTTCTTTCCCCTTCTCCCTGTCCCCATGTCCTGGGCTGTCGTACCAGACCTCCTGTTTCTTTACTTCAGTCCTTCTCACCTGTCATTTCAAACGTTTCTTCCCTTTTTAAAAAACCTGTAACTCTGGTTTCAATTTATTGGTTTTTGCACTTCCACTCTGTCGATAAACTTCTTTCACCCTCTCTTTAACTTCAGCATTTTCTCCTGTTTCCGCAGTTCACGGGCTGCTGTTACTCTTCTCTCTCCAGGCCAGCCCACCTTTTCTCTTCAGAGCTCCAGCCCGTCCCTCACCTCGGCTCCTGTGTCACGGCGAGACCCTGGACGCTCTGCACGAGCCTCCCACTCGTGCCAACCGTCACCCGCTCCTCGAGGCCGAGCAAAGATCTCGGCAGTGACTCAGCGTCCCTTGCTGCCCTTAGCAGAACAAGTTAGCAAGTTTATACATGTAGCACCCACCCAAGAGCTCTGAAGATACCACGAATGAAGTAAATTGCTCACAGAAAGATGGTACCCGCAGTTACAGCCACCGGACACACCCCAGGACTCTGGGAGAGGGGGAACAGAGAAAAAGGGCAAAGGAGTTTGAAGTTACAGAGCCGTAGCTTTATGTCACTGCCAGGCACGTCGCACAAAGCGGTAACCGAAAAGTATGGAAGAGAACACAATACAAAGACTCCTTAAGTGTCTGTACACAAAGGCGAGTCTCCCATTTATTAGGTACTTACATGGCAAGGAACCAGAAAACACTGCTTTAAACTTGGGAAAAAAAATTACTGAAGAAAACCAGAAGAGCTTGTAGTAAAGGGTGGTACAGACAAAAAGACAGACTTACGTAGGAGGAACTGGTAAAGGCAAATGGGGAAGAAAACCCATCTCTGTCATGGCCAGGGACATACACACCACCACTAAAACCCGTGTCGTTTAAAATGGTTACTAAAAAACGAGAGGAAGCAAGCAGTGAATTATCCCCATGTGCAAACCGCAGAAGCTCCCCGTGCCGATGAGGATTAAGGACGGACGCGGGGCGAGGTTCAACCAAGGCGGACAGGCCAGCGGCTGCCCTGGGGCAGGCCCTACTCCCGGCCGGACCCTCACCGCACGGGGGGCTGCCGGGCAGAGCCGGCCTGGCAGAGCCTCCCCGGGCTCACCTCGGCTCAGGCTCCCCCCGCACGGCCG